ATTTTTTTTTATTTTATTTTTTTAAATTTTTTCCTTGAGTCTCAAATTAATGAACCAATTAAAAATTTCAACATTGCCAGCTTTATTTCCGTATTTTAGTTACGCCTTTAACTGTTATAGCTCAAGTTATTTAAATTATGTCAATATATATATAAACAGATTTATGATATGTTCAATCTAGTTAAAGCCTTGGAGCTGTCGACTTAGACCTACAAAAACATATACATATATATTTATTCAATGCGTCTCGTATAATCCTCGACAACAGATTATTATTTACATTGCCAACACAAGATCATTAAAGCAAATATATATGTATACATATATATGCATATATACGTGCATATATGTTATGCCTAACTTCAATATCAATCCATCACAGATGAGAAAAAACTCGAAATTGCCTAAATCCCAAGCAAAACAAGATCACGCAGGCCCCAGACGGACAGACAGAGAAGAAAAATAAAACAGAAATATAAACACAAAATGAAAAGAAAAGCATTTGTAATGGTCTTATGGTATATGTGTATGTGTATGATGAGCTTTGTTGTTCAGACTCTAAAGAAAAAAAAAACTTCATGCTCGAGTCCAAATGCCCATGGCATCATATGGACAGGCACAGCAAGAAGAAGACGAAGCAACGAGCCGACAGCAAAAGGCAGACAGTAGTAAATCAACTAAATGATGCATTCTTTAAGAGCCATAGCGAAAGGGTATATGCGATCTGTAGTGTAGTAGGTAAACTCATAATAAAAAACATAACAAAAAGAAAATTATAAAATAAGAGTTAAGCATACAGTTGAATTGCTGAACATTTTCTGCTCTGATATTAGTTTATCTACTATGATATAAGATATATTTTATAGTTCCAGCTGGAATATTAACATGTTCAGTTTGACTGAAATAATATTAGCTATTAAAAATATATAATAGTCACTTGGGAAAGGGTATTTAAGAGTGCGGCGTCACCGCTATAGCTCTTTGATTTGAGTATCATTTGTAATGTCTATAGCTGGAGGGCAACAGCAAAAGATCTCTTGGCACATTGGGCCCTCAAGTCTCTGCGCGGATCTCATCCACAATCAGCAGTCAGCGTTAGCTCCATCGTAAGCTGCGGATAGCAACATCAGCTATGGGGAGACTACGGCAAAAAAAAAAACAGTCAAAAAAAAAAAAAAACTAAATAAAGAAAAAGTAGAAAAAAAAAAACGGTCTCGATAAGCAGCGACGCATCGCGTAGCGTATACGCAGCGTTGTGAGCCTTTGCCTCTGGGCATTTCGATGTATGTATGTCTATATGTAGGTGTATGCATGTATGTATGCCAGAGTGTGTTTGTACGCCATTGTGTTTGCCGCTGTTGTTGCTTTTGTTGTTGTTGCTGTTGGTTTACTACATACTATAGTATAGTATGTACTATGTACGTTTAACACCAGTAGCTGTCTGACAGCTTGGCTGCCGACAACGCCGCGCGTTGTTGTTGTTGTTGATGATTTTTTTACTTTGTTTTTTTATTTGTTTTATGCTGGTTTTTGTTCGATTTTTTGCCTAAAAAAAAAATTTTTTTTTTTTTTTGTGTTATTTTTTCTTTCTTTTTAAAAAAAAAAGAATATGAAAAGCAAAACGCGTAAAATCAACTAAACGAAAAAAAAAAGGTAGCCGACTGCCGATATGATGTTGCCAACGCATGCTCTCTGTGTACTTTAGTGTTTATATATACGCGCACACACACGCACACACGTGCCCATATGTGTGTGCGTGTGTGTGACGCTGGCGGCGATTACATATGAGCGTGTATAACTCGTAAGCGCTGTCGGCGTCGCCTTCGCTGCCTCTCGCACTTCTGTTTCTTGGTGCTTTTATTCTTCGTTTCATCTTCTTGTTGGCTTTTGGTCATTTTGTTTGGATCTGTGCGCTGCACACAAACACAGATACACACGTTCGTGTTTGTGTAAGTTTGAACCGGTTTCACATTGCGTTAGTTGCCGTTTTCTGTAGCTCCTGACATTCTTGTTGTTGTTTTGTAGTACGTGTAACTTGTCGATACGTTTATTTGTTGTTGTTGTTGTTGCTCGTTTGGCCGCCGCAGCATTCTACAAATACTACAGCAACGAGTTGTATTACAACTTCTTATACCACATTTCGACCATTGGAGTCTGTAAATAATGTGTTTCTTTTTCTCCACAAAAATCTTGATGTGTCTCCAATGTGTGTGTATGTGTGTGTAAATATATATATATGTTTCAAGCAAAGCAATATACTAGAATGAGAATGTTAACAAAATTGTAGCTTCCAGAATATGAAAAATAAACTATTTTAAAGAATTTACTTTGAATAAACATAAAAGACGTGGCTTTTAGTTTTCTTTTAGATATATCAAAATATGAAAACATTTATTATAGCAAATTATCAACATGATGCTTCATTTCCTCTTTCAATTAATTCTAGATGATTTCCATAAATTGCAATGAAGTAATAATAACAATTTCACAATATCAGAAAACCTTAACAAATTATGCACCGAGAGAACCGGTTGAGATACATCAGCATCAGTCATAGTTCCCCCTTATCAACACTTTTGATTTTATAAACGCTTAAGCAATATTGTTTCAGAACTTTACAGAAATGAGTCTACATTCAACCTCCGTAGTTGTTTTACTTCTGATTCAAGTTTAAGTTTTGAGCCACGGTGATTCCATTCATTGCCC